CTTGCTGGCTTTAAAATTACTTGCTCCCTTCACAGATGGGCCTGATAACAGCAGGGAGCTGGCTGGCCCCAGGCCCTCGGGACTGTAGAAGGTTGCAGGCACCACCGCTGCAGCCCAGAGCAGAGCCAGGAGAGGGGTTACAAGAAAAACTCCCTTTGACTTCAGCAGAAAGTGAGATTATTTGGGCAATAAATGAATACAGCAAGTACAGGCTAACATGGCCAGATCTGAAAATAAAGACAATTCTAGCATATTCCTTTGCAGTGCCTGATTGAAGAATTTGGTCACATGGCAGGAAAGAAGGTTACTGAAGAGAGCTCTTTTAACAGAAGCTCATTGGTATTTTAAACTGGTCACATGCCTTTTCATTTGTGTCCTCTCTGATGTGAATCTCCTCTTCCTTCATCTTTATTTACATTGATCTGTTTTCATATTTTGCTTTGAATTGCAAGCAGACTTTTCTCTACTAGCCAGTTTGAAGGGGCAGCGGAGGCATGCCCACTCAACTCCTGTTTGCCCTACGTCCAAGAAGAATAATTTTTCCTGATGAAAGAGCATTATGACAATCGCATTGACACAATACATTTTATGCTGACTGGTCAAGATCAGTTCTAGAAACAAACTGTAACACACGAGTGTTTCTACTCTTCCATTTGTCTTTGCAGTCAGGCACACGTCAAATATATTCCACGTCACATCATGTCACAGACCAGAACAAAAGGTTTGCATCTAAAAATGGTCGGACTCATAGCTAACATTATTAGAAGTGTTGCATAGTGATGCCACTGTAGCAAAACACAGATTTATATTGTAGAAATATATATCATGCTCAGAAGGATAGCAGTGTTTGTAAAAGCATGCAGTATATAATGAAGAGAATTTAATCATGCAGAGCAAGGAAACGTGTTGTCGGCTACAAAGCAATAGATACAATTCATACCTGAGAATAATTTGATCTTCAGTTTTCCTCCACACTACTTACTATGCCCAAACAGCTTGTACGAGCTATTGACGGGCAGAAATTGTTGGGGAGTTATGGCTTTTTAAGATCTGACTTTCTCAGCAGTTGCAAATGCAAGAGCAGAATGCTGATTAGCTCTAAGATGACATATGCATAAAAAAAAGGACCCTAAGAATACAATAATTCAAGGCTACTTAAAATGAAATGTGTTTTTGTAAACATTACGCAAATAGTGATTTGGGGAATCTGAGCCCCGAGCCGAAAGCCAGGCTGAATGCATTTCCAGGGAATGTGCAGTTAGTACCTTGACCGTGATAAGATTACAATGAGCGTTTTCGACTATTGCTAACTATAAACAGAAATTTGAGCTGTGTGGGTCAATGTGGTGACTCAGCAATCAAAGTTACTTCATCCTGCTGCAGTCAGAGGACTGCAGTTTGGTTTCCAGCACCACGTTTAGGATTTCCAGGGGGAACAGGAGATGAGTCAGGGAATTAGAGCAACCTTGCATTACTTAACTAGTGCTTGTGGCTTGATCAATGGCACTGGGAAGGCTCTGCTGTAGGGAACCCCTGCAACAGTGTCGCAGTGTGCTCGCTGTCACAGAGCGCTGTGGAGGCTGCCAGTGCTGTCAGATGTGGGGGGGAAACAGGGGACAGAAGGAAAAAAATAGACCATCAGCAAATAATGTGAGAATTTACTGTAGCATCACATGGCAGATAATATTTACCTTATTGTGCATGAACTGATGCATACTGTATCCCAGCTGTCATGCAGGTAGACACAAAATTTTATGTCCCATGGCTCAAAAACACTGCTATTTTCAAGGTCCAGCCAATCACTGGTAAAGTGGAATGCTCACAAAATCTACGGCGTGCCTAGAGCAGGAGTGTGTCCTCGCCGGTCAGCTGCAACGTCAGGCAGGTAATTAACAAATGCCTGGATAAAATGAGCAAGGTCTTGTTTATCAATCAACATACTATTAATTAGCTTGTGTGTCAATTTTAATTGAAGTGATTTGTATTAATAATGGTCGTCTGTGCAAGTTGTATGGCATACCTGCAGGGACCTGTGCTTGCTCCCGGGCTTAACTTTTGACAAATATTCTAATCTAGGAAATACCTTTGCAATTTCAAAATACTAATTTTCTGAGAGATAACTAGCTGTGTAACTGATGGCTATTTATTAATAGAACCTATACATGGAAAACCATCACCTAACAACAATGTCTGAAATAAAAACAGAGTAACAGCGTTATGTAAGAAACCATCTAGCTGAAGGCATGTCATAAAAAAGCTCCAATGACAAGCATAAGGGGGGTAACATTATTTGCAAATTATAATAATAGCTATCCACATCTGTTCTCACGAAGAGGAAAAGCTGTGTGGCTGCTGGTATTTTATTTAAGGCTTGAATCCATCCATATTGCTTTATATTTTGTAAAAAAATCTGACTCTGTTTTACCTTTTCTTACTTTGCTGAAGGCAATGCTGTAGGCTCAGGTTACTCTGGGGTTGTCACCATCCCAGGATCAGGTTGAGCCTCTTCTGGAACTGAATTGTCCCAGGTGTGCTTTCAATTTAAAAATGACTCTATGAGGACAAGTATTAGGGCAACCACAGCTGTTTCTGTGCTACTGAACATGATTGTTATTTTATCATTTATAGGATTGCCAGAGCTCCCTGGTGCTGTGCTGTGTCCTGGCACCTCACAAGAGGGAATGTCTGTCCCAAGGAACCTATAATCAAACACCAGAGAAGGGGCCGGGGGAAGGGAATTAATCAATGATTGACTTCCTCTGCATTAAATACAGGAGTGTCTGAGGTATGGAGATTCAATGACTTGGCTAGGTTATGCAGAGAGTCTATAAAAGAACTGGGAATTTAAAGTAGCCCTCTTCCATCTAAATTCAGACATGTTGAGTCATCAGTCAATAACAAGACTGATTTCCAGGGCAGTAGCGTTTGGAGGCTTTAATCAGGTTTCATGTCCTATTATGCTGGGTACTGTGTAAATATAGAGTAACAGATACTCTCTGCAGGCATGTCCTTAAACAGATCCCCGCTGATTTCAGTGGAACTTTACACATCCAGAAGGATACCCTGGGGTAGATCTGATTTTCTAAATAGGGATGAGCTGCAGTATGTGGGAGTAAAACCTGCAGGATTTATGGGGAACAGATTATAGGTAATGAGATCACAGGGGTGCCTGCCTAAGGGATGCAGTGTAGCTACTTTGTTGGTCACCTGTTTTATTTTGGAAGAGGGTAAACGAACAAGGGAAAATCATAAACTTTTTCAGTGGGAGTCTGGTACCCATATGCTCTGAAGTATCTGAGTACTGGTGTTTTACTGAATTGCAAAGTTTTCCTGCACAAAATTAAATCAAAAACACTTAAAACATCTGCAGCAAAGCTCTTTCCCATTTTTTCACATAAATACTCTTTGCTAACTTAAAAGGTGGGACTGTGAAAGGTAAATGGAAAATAAAGATGCTATAATGGGAAGAACTGTGAGCACATTTGGAGGACACCTGCTGAAATGTTATCGGGGGCAAAGAAGCCCTGCCCATTTGGTGACATCATTTTCTACAACTTCCAGCCTGTCCTGGCAGGCTCAGGGGCTGCAGCGGGAACGCTGTGTGAGAGCCAGGCTGGATGCGGCAGAAAAATACAGTGGGCCTGATTCCCACCAGGCTGGCAATGAGCATCTGGCTGAGGAGCAGCCAGTTCTCCAGCCTAATGCGGCTGACAAGGCTGAGGGCGGCGAAGACCGCAAGGCAGGTCAACAGGTTGATTTCTGTCACAGTTGCCTTTGTTATTTTAATATTCAGTGTGGATGTTAGACAAGCACCAAGAAGCTCCCGCAGAGCCTGTGCTCGGCACCCGGCGCGGATATGCCGGGAGGCAGGTTCTGTCCCACACAGCCCCGAAGGGGTGGCCCTGTTACGCACAGCTTAACGTGTGAGCCTTTCTGTTCAAGGCTGGGATGGGAAGTTCAGCAGGCAGGCGATATTTGACAGCTTGAGGGCCAAGAAAACTGATGTTATGTGCTGAGTGTGGTGAGGGGTGGGGCGGGGAGGGCAACCGAATAGGTACTTGTTGTATCAGTACACAGGCAGGGTTTTCAGCCTGAATTTTGCAGTGTTTGTACATGTGCCTGATTCTTATTCCTAATATCTTCTTAAACTTCTTCTTAACATCTTCTTAACTTCTGGATACCATCAGCTCATGTGGCAGAGTTTTCAATGCCTACAGCTACACTAGCTCGTTTGAGTCAGGAGTGTGCTTTTGAAGCAAATTTCCCGATCATATTAATCTACTGTGCTTCGGTTTGCATCCCGGACCAGTGTGGGAATGCATGAACTGGGCTCCCTTCCAGCAAACCTAAAGCAGTGAGAGCCTCCAGACGAGTTCACGTGAACTCCGGCCACCACCGGTCATGCAGCCCACGGGACCCCATTGCAGCTTGCCTGAAGCACCCCCACCTCACTGAAGCACCTTTGGTATGAAGATGGGGTCCTCAACACCCACTGAATCACTCCAGAAAACCACTCCTCCAGGGCCACAGCTGCTCACACAGAGCGAGCACATCTCGGCTTGCTGCCCACAGGAAACTTCAAGTGGTGGGAGAGGAAGAGGGTTCGGCCTTGGAGAGGAGCCCTGCCCCTCAAAGCAGGGTGGATATAACTCGCTCTGCCCACAGGGTGCAACAGCCACAAACCTGTCTGTAGCCACAGCTAACAAAACCAGCGTAGATGTAGCCAAAGGCTAGTAAAAGCACTCGGAAGTTTTGTGACAATAAGGAATCAAGCAGAAAAGGAGACCTCAGAAATATCACTGAGGGCAAATGGTAGCATGAGCTCAAACCTGGTTAGACATCAAAAAAACACAGGAGAGAGATGCTCAAACAACAAAAATATTTATATATATATATATTTTAAAAATATACTTATATATATTTAAAAATATAAAAGTATTTATATAATACATCAATTATTATTGGGACTCTCCTTTCATAGGACTGCTTCTTGTCTTTTAAATAAAGCAGAAACTCTTATCTCTTGCTGCTCCATAAGCCTTTGCTTTTCAGTTGCTGTCTGATCAGCATGACTGCAGAAACGAGGACGCAGCAGGGCTCTGAAGTAAAGAGAACTCCAAAGATACAAATTTATCTTTCCTCTCTTTTCCTGCTTTTATTCATGGTAGTGTCATCTCTTTTACCTATGAGGTGTGAATACAGATGAAGACATCACTAAGTGCAATTTTATGGCTACAGTAGCCAAAGGGTCAGACCAGAATGATGCTGAAATGGCCACTTCTGCCCTTAAAATTTTCCAAACTCTACAGATTTGAGGGTTGATTCAAAGGGTAGCAGATTTTCTTGTGCATGCAGACGCCGTTAAAAACACACTGAAGAAATTAAAAGCAATCACTTATCTTCTAGCATTAATATACAAATAATAGCAAAACCCATCAGTTCACTGGATGTCATACGTATATACATTTTAAAGGATGTAGGAAGCCCCTGTCTCCATAGTGCCTGAAACCTTTGCAGCTCAGATACAGCCTTTGATCTCTAGGAAACTGCAAATGTCACGAGGAGGACTGACCTGGTCTGCGCTGGCTTCCCCCGGAGCTCCACGCAGCCAGAACCAGAGCTCCAAGACCCCATCGCTGTGCCAGTGCCCACGTCCAGCAGCGCGGCTGCTGCTCCTTCCACGTTTCCCTGTGGCGATCTGCAGGCGTAATCAACCACTGAAGCTGCACCCAAGTTAACATGCCCACATTGGGCTCAGCTCTGTAATTTTAGGTGAAGAGCATAATCAGCACTGGGCGTGTGAGAGCTGGGAATGCAACAGAAATCTGAAAGTTTTTACTTTTCAATATAACTTCAGCATTTCAGCCTCAGAGTATCTGCCTTTCTGACTACAGTTAAGTTCATGATGCTTCCTCACACAGATCATAGAAATTTCAACATTTTCAGGTATCTTCCCAGAACTAAGAATTCATGACTTTATAAGCAAGGGGGAAAAGCAGCAGTTTGAAGCAGATTTCAGTCCCTTCAGATCAAAGACCATGTTTTCTGATGTGTCTCTAAAGTGCCCAAGTGTGCTCGGCCCAGACTGGGACTTGTGGTTAATACCGTAACAACAAAAGCAACTGTGGTTGTGTATGGGACAGAACTGATATATTTGCTATTTTTGTCCGTTCTATATCTAACTACCACATTTTCTATGCAAACCAATTCGGTTTCTGTTTATATACCAAAATCCCCACAGCATGTCTGCTGCCCCTTGTCACGGCTATCGTTATTCCCGGTGAAGAGAACGGTACAAGACTTCGGAGCTTGTCAACAGCATTCGTGACCCAGCCAGAAAAGCTCTTTGTGGGACTGTGAAGTGTGCCTCCTTCCTCCTGCTCCAGCTGGAGGAAGCACGCTGCCATCCCAGGGCTGTCCAGCTTTAGCTCCCTGGCGACCAGGAACAGAGGGCTGGAAACCAAACCCAGGTCTCCTGTCCCAGCTCTCGCAGGGCTTTTAGCGAGCCATCGGGAAGAGCTCCCAAAGATTCTTCAGCAAACAGGCATCATTCAGTTCACTGCTCCCCACGTTACCAGTTTAATTGACACTTAGTCTTGTAGGAAATTCATTCGAGAAGTACAGACTAAATCATACATTTATTTATTCGAAAGACGAATTTCTAAGAAGCAAAACTACAATATTTCAGTATGACTATACTTACTTTTCAGATAGCCTGCTATTGTTTAGCTATTGAGAAATACACCTTCAAACATTGGATTCATTCAGTTTTAGACGCACAACTATGTTTATTATATTTGGCACTGTGAAATGCACTTTGTACCTTTATTGAGCTAGATTTTTGTCTGAGACCAAACCCGAGTCGTTTGTTTAAAAGCTGTTAATACCTAGACTGAGATACTAGCTCTGTAATTCTAATAGGATGTCATATGGTCTCTTCCTTTGAGCATGTCTGAGCACAGGCCACCTTTCAACATTTTAAAATAACTTTTAAAAGTTACATCAAATTATACGTTACCTATATATATGTTAAAAATGGATGAGAACAGGAGCGCCTGCTCTTCTAGTGTGGTACTGATATACAGTCTGGCAATCAACCATTCTTTGCCACTAACTCCTATATTCAGTATTTTCAGGTAATATAATACCAAGGAACAGTTGATGCACCTTATCCTGAAGCACTTCATAAACCAGAGTCAACAGAGGTGAAATCTGAGGAAGCGCTCAGGGAAATCTAGGGACTTCCCTGAAAATTAGGGTTTATAGACTATAATCCTATTGATGATAACTGAGTGATAAAACCCACAGTGTTTGCATTTATAACAATTCTTGAGTGATTTCATTGTTCTCAAAAAAAAAAAAAGCTGCTTTTGTTCATTGTTGATACAAAGTCACTCTTGTTGCAGACCAGGCACTTCCTACCTTACCTGGGTATTTTTATCCACAGTACTTTGCTGTGTTTGAGAGATAAGCCCTTACTCCAGACTCTGAATAGCACTTCCCCCTCAAATTTGGGGAATGTCAGATTCAGATCGGAATCCAAACCTTCTAGTTTGGGCCTGTCTTTCATCATGGTAAATCAAGAGTCGGCAAATCTAAGCAATCTGTTCATGTTGAAATTTGGGGTTTTTAAAATTTTACTTCCTTTCTAGCAAACAACGGAGGTTTATTTTCTTCTCTTCAGGACAGAAAACTGTTTACTGTATGACCTTATTTTTTAAACTGCTGCTTCATTTGCAGGGGAAGTCCTAATGACCTTGCTCACCATGCAGCCTGGGAGCTTATCAATCAGGACAGGGTTTGGCAGGAAGGCAAGAAAACACTCCTGCAATCAGATCCATTACCAGAGATCCCTCTGCCTGGACAGAAACGTCTTACAGCCAGTGAACTCCTGTACTCACACACACTCTTTATTGCTAGGTGTAACTGCAGTCTGAAGACTCAAAATTCGTTCATAAATTAATTTTCTTGGTTTTGTTAAGTTCGATACATGTCCTCTGAGCTGCCTGCAAGCTTTGCACGCTGATGATTAATTTAAATATATCTGGAATGCCTACCTACATTTTAATCTACACTAAATATTCTGTACATAATGCATGGTAGGTCGAAATGTGATCACAAACCCAGATTTTTCCTTTCCATTACCTCTGCATCTTAGAGAGATCTCACAGCCATTTCATCCTGCCCTGCTATCAACAGAAATGTTTCCACTGACTGCAACAGATGAAGATCTGACCCTAAACTAGGTAACTGGGCCTGTACCACGGGGTCTGCTTATTCCACTGATTTGCCCGAATGGTATTTTTAAAACTGTGCTGAAATATGGCCCAGTAAACCTAAAGGAGAGCCAAAGAAAATACCACGTTAGTGTGGCAGCTCTGCCAGGAGGAACTGGTCTGTTCCTCGGTGGGAACGGAGGTCTTGCTCTTCCTCCCTCCACCATGAAGAACAGTGAAGCCTTTCCTTCTCTGTCTCATTGTTGGCTCCTCTAACACCCCAAGGTACCCAAAATCCTGCGATCTATTTGATGCTCAGGAACCCTCGTGACAGAATTAGACAGACTTAGTTGGTCAAAATGGAGGAAGAAAGTGAATTCCACTGAAGGTGTACAATCATTCAAATGATGTCGTAAAAATGTCTGTTGTATCAAATAGGTTTGCTACTAGTGTAAAGGCAGAGTTGTGTTCCCCAGCTTTACTGCTATAAATGCATTTTATGCACCTTTATGTCATTAACAGTGAAAAGCTGTAGGAAGATGTGCTGTTTCCTAAATTCCAGATAGCTTCCTATTGCAGAATTGTGATCATCAGTGATCGTACGTTTCTGAAGAAATCCAATCAGTTCTTACAGCTCAGTTAGCATTTATGGCACTGTTGATTTGAAAATAAACAAAACCCCTTATTGGCCAAAGAGGGCAAATTTGGATACTGGAAGTGCGGAGAAATAATAAATCTGCCAAAGGCATTTCCACCACATCATTTTTCAGAGCAGGACAGCCCTTAAAAATCTTTCAAAATACTGCCGCGCCATCAGCAATAATTTCAAGCAATTTGTGATGTTTTGAGCCATTCCTGCTGTGAGAGGTGGGGAGAGCCGTGTCTGCGCTCGCCACCCCGGCCCCTCGGCCACCCCGACCCCCCCGGACAATCACTTACCCTCGCCTCGCCTCACCGCCCGCCTGCTGCGGAAAAGGGCTATTGAAATATCTGCCAAGGCAGCGCGACACCCAATTATTTGATCAGTTGGTTATTTCGCGGGTGCAAGGGAAAGCTGTGAGCACAGGGCAAAGCGGACTGGCACCCCACGCTCCTGGGGAAGCTTGCTGGTGGGGGTCCCACGAGGTTTATGGGGTCCCAGAGCTTGGCTGGCGGGGCCTCTCCCCTACGGCGGGGTCGGTGCTGGTTTTTTTTGGGGGGTAAACTGACCACGCTCCGGGCACCCGGCTCCGAACGCTGGCGGCTTCCCGCAGGGCTGAGGGCGGTGAGGCCGCATCACCCCGCGGGGCACGGCGTCCCCGTGGGAGGGGGGGGGGGGGGCCCGGGCCGGTGACCCCGCCGCCGGGCCGCCCCAGGCCAGGCCGCGCCGGGGGCCCCTTAACACCGCCCCGGGGCTCGGGGCCGGGCCGGCGGGTGGGCGGAGGGGGGCGGCGGCAGGGCCGGGCCGGCGGGCACTGCCCCGCCGCGCTGAGGGGAGCTCCGAGGTCGGCGAGGCGGGGCCGGGCGGCGAAGCCCCGGCGGTGAACAACACCCCCCCCCCCCCCGCCGCCACCGCCTCCCTCCGGGGAGCGGAGCGGGGCGGCCCCTCGGCGCGGCGGGGCTGGGCGGGAAGCGGCGCGGCGGCAGGACCCGGCGGGAGGATGTGAGCGAGCGCCGCGGAGACGCGTGTGGGACGAGCCCGGCCCCGGCTGCGGGAGCTCGGCCCCGGGGGTGCGGGGGGGAGGTGGCCGCGGCGGCGGCGGCGGCGGCCGAGCGGGGCGAGGGGCGGCCTCCCCCTCCCGGCCGGAGGCAGGGCGGCGGCGAGGCGGAGCGGAGCGGAGCGGCGGGGAAGGCGAGCCGGCAGCAGGAGCGGGCGTGTGAGCCCCATGGGCCGAGCGCCTGCGAGAGGGGGAGGAGGAGCCGCCCCGCCGCCCGCCGCCCGGGGATGGTGAGGAGGCGGCGGCTGCCGGGAGCCCAGTGAGGCCTTCGCTCGGCACCCGCCGGAGAGCCCGCCTCGCCAGCCTCCCCCTTCCCCCCCGCTCGCTCGCTGGCTCGCTCCCCCTTTCCCTCCCCTTCCCCTGCCTCCCTCCCCGGCTCCCTTCCCTTGCCGCCGCCGCCCTCCCATCACCTCCTCCCCGGGGCTCCAGCCATGTAAGTGACCCGCTCCCCCGGCCGGGAAGGGCTGGGGGAAGGAAGCGACGGGGCCGGGGCCTGCTCGGCTCGGCCGCGCAGTGCCCGCCGCATTGTGCGGGGCCGGGAGGGGAGGGGAAGGGAAAGGAAAGGGGGGGCGACCGCCCTCCGCCTTCCCCGGGCGGCGGCCGCTGAACCCGCCTAGGCCGCGGCGGCGGGCCGTGGGGGGGCTTCCCCGCCGCCTCCCCCCGCCCCGGGAACGGCCGGGCGGGGTGGGGGGGGCGGTGAGGCGGGCCGGGGAGCGGGCGGCCCCGGCCGGCGTCCTGCCGGCGGGCCCCGGGCGGGCAGGAAGCTGCTGGCTGCCCCGGGCTGTGGTGGATGAGAGGGCGGCGGGGCGGGGAGGGGGGGTGGTGGTGGTGGTGGTGGGGGGGGGTGTCCCGCCGCAGCCCTCGGGCCTGCCCCGGCCCCCTCGGAGCCCCGGCCCCCTCGGAGCCCCGGCCCCGCTGCACCGCCGGGGGACTGGGGCTGCCCGGGACCGTGCCCGAGCATCCCCGCCCCGTGGAAGCGGGGCGGCGGGGGGGGGGGGGCGTATTTCTAAAACCGTGGCAAACAGAAAGTCTCTAAGTGCCCCCTCCCACCCCCCTCGCCCCCATTTTCTCCCCTTGTCTTCAGGCGCGTTGTTTCAGCCCGGCTCCGCTTTGCGGACCACTAAGTGTTTGCCGACGGGGGTGTGATTGTCTCCGTGGGCATTTGTCATGTGTAGGTGGCTGCGAAGCGTTTGTGGACTAGATTTTTTTTTCTTTTTTTTTCTTTTTTTTTTTTTTTTTTTTTTGCAGTCATGTTTTGCAGAGCTGTAAGGAGCTGTCTGCAGATGCCCCCCTGCCCCCAGGTGAAATTCTGCAGTTGCTGAAATGTTCTTGGTGACTTGTAGGACTTTTGCTTCTGTTTCTTTGTAAAACACATCATTATAATCAAGTATATGAACGTGCTGGGACTTCTTACCTGTTTTACTGACCATACACTATTGACGCTAATGCAGCTTGCACCTTATTGGTATCCCGCCCTCCTCCTGCCCCCCTGGGGAATGTATTTAACTGTTTTTCTTTTTGCTTTGTTTTCCTTCCACCTCTAACATGTAAGAAGCAAATCCCTGATTTGCTATTATTTGTTTTATTTATACCACAGGAGGGATGTACATTTCAAAATACAGTTATAAAGGGGAGTTACTAACACTTAATTCAGAAGAATATTTGTTTACAGGTAAATAAATTTGACATACTACATGACTAGTAATTACTTTTATGTAGTAGTTAATTTCCTGATGACAGCCACAACATTTGTCTGAGTTAACAGATTTAAAGACACTCTGGAGCTACCTTTGATTTTTTTAAATAGGAAGGTTTTTGTTGTGTGCGATGTTTATAGAACTTTTTTGGTGTGTAGCAGTGGTAAATCACTATTTAAGAATTGATCCAATGTCCACAAGTAACTTGTAGCTCCAGCTTTCACTTGCTGGCTTATAAAAATGTCCTGTAAGTGATTACATTAAGAATTAAATAGGTTCATGACTGACTTGATTTGTTTGGAGACAGAACAAAACTTCTGTTATAAATACTTTAAAATAGAATTTGATTAAATGCATCTCAAGTGGTACAGAAGTTCTGAGCAGCATAGTTCTTAAATTATATGAGCATAAACTGTAAAAGGACTTGTTCTTGTTTGGGAACATAAAGAGGATTTTGTCTGGGCTGTGTCTTTGACAGAGAGGGTATGAAGAAGTCTCTTTTCTGCCGTCACTCAGTTTTGAAATAGGCAGCTTAGTTTGTCCTAGCAGCTTGGACAGCTGTGTGTTGTGACTCTGGCCCCTCACCTGAACAATATTAACCTCATGTCTATTGATCAGCAAAGGCACGGAGAGCACAAATATTTCAAATGGCAGTTTTGTAAACCTAGATTAGGCTAACAGATTGGAAAAAAAAAAATGGATGTGGCTTTAGACATTTTTGTTCTTCACTTACCATTTTCCCTATAGCTTAGAATCAGAGAAGCCTTTCTGAGCGTTGTGATAAGCTGCGCTTGCTGCCATGAAATACCAGTTTAGAGGTGCTATCATTCAACACTGAACGTACAGTAGGAAATAAGAATGACCTCACCTAGCTCACGGCCCACAATGAGTTTTTGAAGAGCTAAGATGCTGGAACAACCTGGTCGTCCTAAGGTTTTTTTTGAAAGCTCTTTGCCTAGATTTGGTAACTGGGTCATGGTGTGAAGCTGCTGTGGGTTTAGAGGGCCTCGAGCGCGTCGGAACTGCTGCTATTCCTGTGAAACACCCAAGGCAGGATTTGCATAGTGCAGGAGATGTACTTCACCAGTCAAAGCCTGGTGGGGACACCTCTCTGTATGGTCTACTTGCAATGTTGGCTGGAGCCCAACTTTGTCGTGTTTGGGATGTTCACATACAGTTGGCTGTCAGCTGTGAGCTTACAGTGGGATCTGGGATCTACTGTGGGGAGAGAGCTTAGGTGATATCCCATGTAATGGGCCCAAACACACATGCCTCTGCCCCCCCTCAGTTCCTGTGTGTCTCATCTGCTCTCATGACAGTGTCATGTGGCCAAGGTAGGCAAATGGGCGGCTGGATCCTTTTTTGCAGGGTCCTGCTCCTGTGCATTATAAGAACATGTACAGATATGTAGCACATCAGGGCTCGGTGTCCTGGGAGCATCAGGACTGTGCCACACCAGGGCAGTGGGCATTGGTAACTGGTGGTGTGACGGGTGCTTTGGAAGTGTTAGTTCAGGAGTGTGCTTTGCTGTAACCTGCCTTCTGATCTGGGCTAACTTGTACAGCCTGGACAAAGTCGTAACATGCCAGGTGAGGCAGCGTCAGGACTGAAGGTGGTGGATCTGATTTTCCTTCAGCCTCTTGCTTACTCTCCCTCATGAAGATGAGGTGATCACCAAAGATGCTCCTGCATCCCTTCCTTTTCTTCTTGCTTTGATTTAGGGTGTGAGTAGAAATGAATATAAAATTTCATCTTGGAGAGAGGGTGAGTAGGACAGATATTTTGTGGAGACAAAAGAGGGTGAGCATAATAAATAGAACGAGAAAAGGAACTCTGATGTGACTCTCCCGAATACTGAAAAGATGGTTCTCCACCTTCTGTTGGATGGTTGGTTTGACTCCTTAAAGCGGGTTTTGCTGCTGCAGTGCCTAGGAAAGTGAGTTATCTCATTATTTATAAAGAAGTTAATAACCTTTAAGGGATTAATATATGCATAAAACCAACGCCACTGTGATATGATGCTGATGTCATGCCATTCATGATTTACACAGCTGTATGAGGAATACTTTGGTATCAAAAAAGCATTAGAGAAATGCGTATTGAAAAACAAGCAAACGGAAGGCTAAGAGAAAGACAGAGTTGTTTAGCTTTTGACGGTATTCAGTCATGTGCAGACACAGGCTGGAGCAGCCAGGTCATACTTACCTCAGATGCCCTCTGTTCACTGGGAACCATTCCTAGATGGCCATAAATGAGGACTGTAATAATTTCTTTCTTTTTTTTTTTTTTTTTTTTTCTTTCCCCTCTAAGGATTTTATGGAAAAGGAACTTTCTCTGGTTTACGCATCTTCAGTAGTACGTTGACCTGTAGTTAACTTGCTCTCCTATTCCGAGAAATTACTCTTACTTGCTCCCACTGTCTTCAATAACATCTTTTACTAAAATAGATATATTAGGCACAGCTTGAATGTGTGTTTTAAAATATACCAGATAGAGCGGGTTTGCTGCTGTTGGAGCTGCGTCTGTGGACATCTTGTTGTTGATCCCATCAAGAAGGGATCGCCAGCTCTTTCCAGTGTGAATTAAAAATAGCTTAAGTCCCCCCTTATAAAAGAAGCACTCTAGCACAGCTGACTGAAGGACTGAGGTGGAGCCCATGCTGCAGGCTGGTGTCAGGGATTGTTTAGTGTTTTCCCACTTTGTTGTGCTGTGCTGCCCAATCTCCTGTGCCTGGCTCCTTTCTAGTGCCCCTTACCCCCTTCCACCACCCCTCTCCCTTTGAGGGAGATGGACAGGTAAAGACACATCTCAGAGAGCAGGGCTGCAGTAGCAAGTGGAGAGTGTTTCTTAGGTAGAAATTGTAGGGAAAGGGCAGTTGAAACTTCTTGGACACCACAGAGTGTACACAAAGTCATTCCTCTGAATTTTGGATTTCTTTGTTGATCTGTTTGGGCTGTATTATCATTC